AAAAATATATATATATATATATATATATATATATATATATATATATACATATATAACTATTAAAAACAATTAAAACCAAAGAAAAAATTGCCATTAAATAAAATAGGTCGGGTCTTCATTGATTAAAATGTGACGAATTAACGATAATTGAAAACAATTCTAATTTTAATTCAATCATTTACGCGAGCACGGAATTTACGCGAGTACGCACGCGCGAAAATATTCGATTATATATGAATTCTTATACGCTGTCCATACTAAGTGACGTTAATTATAAAATATAGTTGTAAACCCAATTAAGTGTGTGAAATTAATATGCAATGTACGTAACACATATACTTTGCATGTGTTCACCGGGAAAATTATGAAACAAAATGGACGGTGTGTACCACGTGACTTTCGTAAACCAAGGAGCGGAATGTCGCAACTCTTTATATATATGCAGAGCCGTAGATTGTACGGCTCTGTATAATTTTGGCTCTGGACGGATACAGATACTGTACACCCCCCTCACTTGGTGCTTCTCGCGAGCGAAGTGAAAATGCCTCCTAGCTACAGAACGCGATCAAAGATCCTAGGCCTGTCGTCGAGGTAAATACTAAAGAATGGTTTTCATTGATGAATGCCCAGAAAGAATGAATAATATCGTTGAAAATGTAAGTATTTCAAATCCTGTAGCCTAGTCATGAGTTCTCATGAAAAGAAATAATTATTTTCTCTGGGAACTAAAAAAAAATTCCTTTTATTAATAAATATTAATATTCTTCTTATCTTAGGCATAGGCCTATATAGGCTTGTGGGGCCTACCTAGGCCTAGCCTTAGGCCTAGGTAGTTGGATTTTCTTAGACTAGCTAGGCCCTCTGTGAATCCATAGATTTAGACTCTTACAAAAATGTAGATCATTAATTACGGAAGAAGAAAAGAATAATACAGATAATTTCGGTCGCGCCTTCATTTCGGTTACGTCGTATTGTTATGCATTTCGGTCGCGATAAACAACCTCAGTTTGGAACGCCAATGTATGCACTAGTGCTTTATGTTTGGAAATTAACTTTTAAAGGGTTGGTCAGGGGTTTATTTAAGAATTTGAGTAGCAGGAGAAATTTGAAAGTAACAGGAGAGTAAATTGAAATAGGCCGGGGGTATAGGGGGGCCGCCTAGACCCCCATCGCGGTCCAGGGGCAGAGCCAAATTAGGCCCATATCGGCCGCTACTGATAGCGGCCGCCCTCTACAACGGCCGCCAATGTGTGTATGTATGGAGCGCCGATGACGCATTCACAATGCAGTACAGTGTAGTTGTTAAATGGTTTGGCATATGCTTAGGTCAAGTAGGTTTGGCATAGGCCTAAGCCAAGTCGGTTTAAAATTCGGCCTACAGTAACAATTAGTAATAGAGGCAAGCCTAAGTTATTTTGAGTTGAATTTATTCTTGCACAAGATATTGTCGTGGTTTAATCATTACTAGGCCTATGCTAGCTTTCATCTTGATGTGGAATGTATATATAATATATAAACTAAACTACACAATCTACATCATATATATATATATATATATATATATTTATTGTTTAATATATATATATACATATATATATATATATATATATTAAACAATAAAATATATATTAAACAATAAAACAATAATATCAATTATCATCTAACAATTGTATGTCTTTTAATTTCACTATCATACTTTTATGTAAAGGTCAGTGTGTGGAATGTTGTGTCTACAACAGGAATGCAGAAATATAAATCACTACAAATCAAGTATATATATGTTTTTCAATAATTTTAATGTCACAAATCAATTCTTAATTCATTATTCTTTAATCTTTAAAACCTTTAATTGCAAGCCTATGTAACTAAACTACACAATCTACATCAAATAAAAATGAACACTAATAGTTACAAAATTACGTTAAAATTATATTAAAAATATAGTATTCATACATTTCTATAAATTAAATTACAAAAATATTGTCTTTGTACTTTACAACTTATGTCAACTTATATACATTAATAACAACAATTTTAACAACAGATACCAAATTGCTATATTTAGAGTAGACGTCATTAATTGAACATTATAGGCCTATATGTTTACATTCAGTACATCTGCCCTTGTGCCATATAGTATCATAAGAGGATTATGTAGCCCTAGCATCAACAGCTTCGCGAGCATTGGGGCTTATGAGATGACTGGCTGCAATTAACAAAGTCCTTGCAGTTCTAGTCCCAGCGGCATACTCGTCCCAGAGCTTGTGAAGCCGTTGGTTGGTCCTAAGAGCTGCTGGCGCCTGTGTCCTCAGTTCATCTTCTCTGTAGATCAATTCGGCGTTGATTGACACAGTCTGGCTCTCTTCATACAGTAACTGGCAGAGCATGTAGAACTGGATATTCGCTACGAAAAAGGTAAGATAATTGGTTTAAAATTAATTTATAGACAAAAAAGTAGTCAATTACTGAACTCAAGACATCACAGCACATTTTAATAAAACCATCCATACAATTCATGTGTAAGTAAAAATGTTATCATTAATTCATGCTCTGTGTATACCTTGACACAATTTGGTGCATAACAAATGTCTGTTTATAAAAAGAAAATACTTACCACGCTTGGCTCTGTGATTAAGGCGATGATGCCACCCCTCCAAGTCATTGTTGGTACGTACATTCTGCCTGTAAACAACCCAATCCTGTGGTGTGAAAACGTTACCCTGAAGCCAATAAGATCGAATGTACTCCATCATCTGCAAGATAGCCTGGTTGTTGCCAGCTGAAAGCTCGATCCGTTGGAACACTTCGTTGACATGCTCAACTGGAAGATTTGGTAGTGACAAGAGTTGCCTTATTGTCTAAAAATGTGAAACAAGAAAATGATTAATTATTTTATGTATATACATACATATATGTATTATATACACAATCATACATATATATTTATACTATATATATATAGGTATATATGCTGTGACGTCCCTGTCTCTTATACACATCTAGATGTGTATAAGAGACAGACCATGTGTGTTCCAGCATCGATCCTGTAGGCACCTCCTAGTCCGAAGTCTTGTGCTCTTCGGTACACAGTCTGCAAAAACGATTAACAGTAATTTATTGCCAGTAATATAAATGAAAACATAAATTTTATAGTTTGTAACATTTGCAAGAGTGATTAACAAATTAGCTTTCACAAATTCACATTGTTATGTTAATCCAAAAAACACTTTTTTTTATATATTCGCATCTTGTAGAAAGTGTAAACATACCTGCGTGTAGTGAAAGAGACAGCCCGTCACTTGCACATCCGGCAACACATCTCGCAGAGCCTGCCAAATTGATGATTCAAAGTCTGTCACCACCTTCTGTACATTAGTCACAGGCAAAATGCGAAGAATCGACCTTAACACTGCAGCGTAGTCTACAATCCTCTTCCCTGACATTATAGCAAACGCCAAGGGCACCTGCTTCTCCGTTGTTCCTGATCTAATAAAGCTGTAGACTGAGAATAGTTGGTAGAATGGTTCTCTCACACATTTAAAAGTCCCATCAAGAAACCTGAAAGAAATAACATTATGATATTAATGATGATATTCATCATTTATGTTCAATCACATAAATCACTAAACTTTATTTATTTCATATATATTATGAAGCATAAAGAATTTATATTTCAATGAACATCAACAAGGATAAAAAATGCTCTGCATCAATTGTTATCTTACCACACTCTGGATCTCCCCAGCATGTCAAGCATATGTGCAGTAGCAAATAATATGTGGCGTCCACCATCAACAGCAATGTCGTCTTGGAGAAAACTTGGGGCGATGTGTTCTTCGTCCAGATTGAAACGCAAATCCGATGGATGGTTAGGTCGGGACAGCTTTCTCGTGATTGGCTTGTCTGGCCAGGCTCCTTGGTTTTGGTAGAGTTGGATGCAGCGCAATCTGACCAATGCCAATGTCGTCTCGCAGAACCTTTTAAAAAAAATTAATAAGAATTACTTAAAGAATAATTATTAATTAATAATAATAATAATAATAATAATAAATTTTTATAGGCCTATTGTCAAAACAAACTTTCGTTATATTTGAGATTTTCTGTGCGTTGTATACGCAAAGGGACTTAAATATATACATACATACATTTTCTGATTGCTACTGAAGGCGATTGTGCCGTTGCCGTTTTAATTGTGTTTTTTTTTTTTGTTTTTACTATTATTAAACTATGATACATTTTGTTTGTATTAAATACATAGCTGAAAAATATACGGATACACGAGTGTCATCAGTGGTTGAATTGTATTTTATTAAACGTCACATTCGATCCTTAGAGAGTATACAATAATATACTTTTCCTTTAGTAAAACAAATAAGTTATCAATAATAACATAATGATAATATAAGTTTATATTTTACGGTTCTATTCGAAAATATACAATATATATTTTATAGTGCCTATTGTCAAAACAAACTTTCGTTATATTTTAGATTTGCTGTGCGCTGTATACTCAGGCAAATGGACTTAAAATATACATAAATTTGTTGCATATACATAAATTGAATTAATAAAATATAATAACATGCATCAAGTACAATAAATGCAGTATGGTGAAAGAAATCAAGTGCACTAAACATAAATGGCATTTTTTAGTCTTTATTAATTATACTGTACTCCATTTATAATCAACAGACCGTAAGTATTCTATTTATCCATGCTTTTGTGCGTGTGTATATTTTATTGTAGAACTAATTCTTACAGTATGACTGATACACTTTACATATATTTTTACACTATAATAGAGAGTTTTCGCCATACTAATAAGTTCTTGTTTTGTAAACTGGCATATTCTATTAAGTAAATTTTCTCATACACGATATTATTTCTAACAAAATGTTTTCGTTACACAACTACTTGAGTAGGGAGTTGTTGATTATCAACTCACTCTGGCTAGACAATGAACATGCTTGCTTCATCAGATAAGACAAAAGATATCAATTAACGTCTCTGTTGTAACGTTAAATTTTTAACCCTACAACTATGGACGGACAGGCTTAGTATTGTTGCTTTTTATTGAGTAACAAACGATTGAATCGATGGTATGAATCGTGTACATATTTGTTATACACATCTAGATGTGTATAAGAGACAGATATACACAATCATACATATATATTTATACGTCTTATCTGATAAGCAAGCATGTTCATTGTCTAGCCAGAGTCTGTCTCTTATACACATCTAGATGTGTATAAGAGACAGGTGTACATATTTGAGTATACAGAATTAAGAAACGAATATCATATGTATGAACTTTAGAAATTCTTCAGTGGAGGAAACCAATTTTCAATCTGTTCTTAAATAAATTATATATATGTATACATATTTAAATATATATAGCATATATATAAATTATGATATAATAGATAAAATCCAACTAGCTTTATATATAATAGTAATAAGAAAAGAATACCATAATTTATTGGAAAAGAACTTTGAACTATCGAAATTTTTGATGTTATATTAGAGCAATGGTTTAATTATATTTTTATGATATTTACAATTCTTAACGTGACTTCAATTTATTTATTTCTTTCAATGGTTATTTTTTAAGTTTTTAAGTAATTTTATACCGTATGTAGGCCTATATATAAAATGAAAAAAAGGGCCGAGTTGACCTGCCGGGCCGAGTTGACTGGGGCCTGGTTGACTCGAAAGCTTTGTATTTAGCGGGCGGGTAGGTATTGTATTATTAATTGCGAGCGGTATTGTATTACTAATTGTGAATGCGTCATCGGCGCTCCATACATATACACACATTGGCGGCCGGCGATTTTTTTTTCCGTACGAAACATTTGCATGAAACTCCACTCGGGCCGTCTTGGATTGATTCGACTCGAGTTTGATATACGAACAAGAGCAGGCACTTCGCAATGTCGTGACGCTCGAGTACAGTATCCTATTACCTTTACTGTACTGTTCTTTATTTACATACGGCAGGCCTATAAAATCTTACCGATTTATGGGATGTACAGTAGGCTAGGTCTGTAACTAACTGTGAGCTTCTTGTATGTTTGTTATCAAATTTACTACAATAACAGCTAGTACCCCCTTCTATAGTAGTACCAGTGGTAAATAGGTACATCTATCAAAGGCTAGAGCAAAAGAGGCTATAGATAATGGACCTAGTGGAACGGCCTAGTTCCAAGCTGAGTTAGGTCATGGTTAGGTCATACCTACCAGCCCCCCCCCACCTTCCACCAGACTAGGTCCCAAGGTTCCTAGGCCTGACACAACAGTCACGCTTCGCATGCCATTGACTGAAATTTTGAACAAAATTTAAAACATGAAAATAAAATGGGACAACGAGTAAAAAATATTAAATATTATAAATTAAATATATCATTCAGGCACTAACAGGCCCGTAGCCAGGTCATTTCAAGGGGGGGTTCTCTGGGCGTGGGGTCCACAGGTGGCACCAGGATTTTCCCCGGGGGGGGGGGCGGTGCCCCGACGAGGGGCCAGATTTCCCCCACGAAAGCAAAGTGGGCGTGGTCGAGCTTCAATTAATAGGTTCCAAAAGTGGTCCTGGGGGTGAAGTCCCCGAAAATTTTGACAATTCAGGGGTTTCAAAGGCTTATTAAATCGATATTAGAGTCCCCCCCCCCACCCCCCGCTGTCGCCACCCCTGGTGGAATTCAGGTGCCTGGGGCAACGGTGGGGTCGGGGGCGAACCCGAAGCCAGAGCAGTTTTTGTGTTTAATGGGTCTATAATAATGTTATAAAAGCACTTTGGCCTATGTTTTGAAAAAGATCTATGTAATGAAAAGGTGGTAATATAATAAAATCCCAGGACTTCCGACGGTAATAAAGCTGGCCTGCCTGCCTAGGTCCGTCCCAGGCCAACCAATAATAATTAACAAAATGTATTTTTTTAAATATAGGCCTATGGCGCATCCTGTACATGCACTTCAACTTTTACAACAAAAGCCTAGGCCTAGTAGGCCTACCTGTAGTACGTTCTACTGTACTTAGGCCTAGGCCTACACTTTGAATTGTCGTCGGGGTATAATTCTGTATCTAAATGAACAAGGAGCGAACCTAGCTAGTAAACATCTAGGCTAGGCTAATTGATTTTTAAAATCAATAACCCACCAAGACTATCTGTCGTTTTCTTCTTTGCAACAGCGGACGAAAAAAAGTCAGTTATTCTACAACGTTTCATGATTCTATATCACTAAACATTAACAAACACTCGTTTTGACGAGTGCATGTAAATGAAACGAAATAACAAAGGCAACGATTTAAAAACACTCTAATTTTGGCTATGCATTCAAATCTCTTGGTAAATATTCAAAAAATACCGTACACAGTAAATTGGGGCCGAGTTGACTCCAATTCGTCATGACAGGTAGGTTAACCCAAAACCGCGGCCAACTAAAAAATTAAAATGTGCACAAGTATGTAACTCAAATAGGGCCTAACACTTTTTATTATTCGTGCAGCGAAATCAAATAATACATATTTTGTTTTAAACGACCCATTATATTTTAAAAAATTCTGTGACAGTATTTCTAAACTTGCCATAATCTCTTCCTTTAGTATATATTATGCGAAAAACGAAACATCCTGGATTAATCCTCCATATCTTATAACTGACTAAAATAGGATTGTTATAATTTCTTATAGGTATATTTTAAATTACTGATTTTTGTCCTTTTTCTCATTGTTGTTTCGTTTCTCCTTGTGTGTGCCTCACCTGGGCCATGATCTAGGATTGTATTTTACGTTTCCTTATTGTTGTTTGCAATAAAGTGATATTAAATAATGAATTGCAATGTGTTTTTTTTTTTCAAAATCAGACCGCAAGCAGCAATATCCTGTATCCCATAAGTTTTGTAGACGTTTATCTTTGGTTGATGATCTTTTGACCTCCAGAATTGCGATTTTCGAATCGAGTCAGTCGAGACAACCCGAGTGGAGTTTCATGCAAATGTTTTGTACGGAAAAAAAAATCGCTGGCGGCCGTTGTAGAGGGCGGCCGCTATCAGTAGCGGCCGATATTGGCCTAGGCCGCCTACAGCTTACAGCTGATGTATTTCAATCTAGGCTCAGAGAGTAGTAAATCTCTATTTTATAGGGCCTCCGAATCGAGCGATGAATATTTAGTTGACAGAATTTAGGAACAGAGAATAACTCGTCATGTATTAAAATCAAATGCTAAATTGATTTTATAACTAATATTCTGTACCTTCGTTGCATACGATCTACAGACGATTACTCACTCTCACTGCCTGTGTACAACGTCACGAACGAATGAGAAGCCCATGTGCTTGAGTCGAGGGCGATTTAGAACCGTCCATTTTGCGGCAGGGTATTCATTTTGTATTATAACTATAAATACACATGCCTAAACATTACCACATTTAACATGTGTATTAACCTTATAATAAACATGTTTAAATATATATTAATATTCAAACACGTGCACTAACCGTTATAATACACATGTTTAAATACTATTATAATAAGCTTCACCGGGCATACAATGGTTCGGTCTTGGGATGCCAGGGGTAGGCGCTTCAGTTCAATCTTATTATTTTTGTTTGTTATGCATCGTAATTTTCCCGATTTTTAGGTGTGAACACAATTTGTATTTTCTTTTTAATTATACTGTGGTATAGACAAGAAGAACAATTCCCAGTAAAAAAATA